TAATCGCGTCATTAAATGTTATCTACAAATAAATGTACAGTTTCCAAATTAACGCAGGAAACTTTGTTCACTTGTTAATGTTTTTAGCTAACAAACATAGCAAAATTTCGTCAAATTACCCTGCTGCAAGTCGAACGCGTTTTTCGCATGATAAATTTCACGCACCATAATGAAACAGTCTGCCGCTTATTGTAAGGGATATTATATTTCCAATAACAACATTCATTGCGCATTCAAGCCGATATCTTGAAGCATAGTTAATGCTTGAAGGGAAGTATGCGATGGTGGAAAAGACCGAGTGAACTATATGTGCTATTAATTTGTAATTCACAAGCTATTTTTCATTGAAAATAAGAAACAGTCAACAATTAATACTGAATAATCGCACGATAGCGCACTATAAGAAGCTTTTATTTATCAGCAGTTCAAATGTCAGCTGTCGCAAATGATACAATACTTATTGCTATACAAAGAGCCAATTATTACATCAAAACTGAATAGTATACCGACTTCTTTGCATTGTATATACCAAAATAATCCTGTCGCTCAAATATACTATATTTTGGTTTGAAAATTCACTAAAATACTCACACAAGGGGCGAATATTCTAACAGACGCATTACTGACAGATCGCACGTGCAACACTCGCGCAAGATATCATCCAAGCGTGGGCAGACCCAGGCATTAACATGCCTGAGAACCTAAATAGAGTATATATATACCATGCATTGGTTGTAGGTAACTTATTCAGTTAATATATCATATATAATTATAGGTAGCTAATCAAATTGTTTTTTTAGAATTTCTAGTCTTTTCCAAACAATCTCTCTTGTAAATTTTCGCAAAGGAATGACAAAACCGATCTGCAGCGAACTGTCAATAACCCCGGTATATATTCTATAAGCTATGTCATGATCCCATGAATTAATACGACCAGAATTGAAGAAATGGATGATTGTGCATAAAACACAAATTTCAAGAAAATTGGGCAAATATACGCTGTCAGGACGGTTCGAGTAAATGACCAACGCAGAAAAAAATAAACGCAGCAAAAAATTACTCGAACCGTCCTGACCGCATAGCTCAGTTGGAAGAGCATTGGGCTAGTATTCCAAAGGTCGTAGGTTCGAATCCCACCGTGGCTGGGCATATTTTTCAAGCTCGCCCGGTGTGGATATACACTCAGAGTAACACCACACCACAAATATCATATTCACATGAGTACACTACACCAATGCAGAAAAAAAAAAATAATACAGTCTGTTTCGTGATAATAATAATTATATATATATATATATATATATATATATACCTGCAGACGATGTTTCCAGTGTGGTTGAAGAAGAGGTTAAAGCAGCATCATAATGTCCAGGACCATACGCCGAGTATGCCAGAAAAATAGGCGTGGTTGACAGAATATTACGACTTGGACATATGCTGATTAAAGGACTACTTGGTTCAGAAGTGACAATCGCAAGAGGGATTCCCAAACAATTGGCTATTGCTAGAGGCATCAGATCACCCATAGGACCACTAAATACCCCTGAAGTCTCAAATCTGGCTACTTCAGCAAAGTAGTCTATGTCATACGGTAAAAAATTGACATATTCACCTCTCCATTCTTGTACAACTAATGTTCTTAGCTGAACAGCCAACATTTGGATGCACATGTCTGAAGTTAAGCCAATACTTGCTAGATAATCATTTGTACACTGAGTCATTGAATTGGAAGAGAATAAATTTGACAATTGGAATGCAATCGCAGTAAAAAAACAATTACCATCACCATTTATATCGACTTGCTCCAATCCAAAGGCTTGTAAATGACCTAAAAGTATTGTGTTGTGTGTTGAATAAGATCCAGCAGGTATATTACATTTTATTTGCCCAACATGCTGTAATTCACCAACACATGCGTGGCCAAGACCAATGGAAGAAGGAAGATTACTTTTTGTAATTAATCGTGTTCCTCCAACGTCATGTAAACAATTGTAAATTTCGTAAAAGCTAAGTGTGCAGAAAGCAACTGGAAGTGTCACGTCATTTTCATTTTCCAGCTGTATGTAAGTATGATCAAGGTCATCACAGTCATTTTGTAAAGATGAACTTATAGAGTCTTTGATTTTACGAAGAACGTCTGGTGACATCTCATTCAATGATCCATATTTAAATAATCTGGCGATGGAAAAATCAAACCATTTTCATTTCGTTCAAAAGACGCAAAACCAAAATGCTCGGCTCTATTATTAAACGAATCATCTTCATTGAACAATAACTGTCTTGGGGAAGATAATAGAGAAGCCAACGAACGGTCGTTGCCCATTTTGCTGTTAATTTTGAAGAATAGTCTACTACATCTAACAAAAGCAGTATCTATACCAATCTTATTAGTTTTCATTATGTTATTTAAATTTCGATGGAGTCGTTCATTTCCACTTGTGGATATGTGGGCTGGTATATTGCTGAGGAAATCTTTGGCAATATGAAGCTTGGTATTTGCAATGGCTTTCATCGCTGCTGGACTCATAACTTTGTGCCCTTTAACTACTTTTGATTTCCAATTCTGCTCAAAGCTCTCTAAATTAACACGTAATATTTCTTTATTTGGTGTTTTTTGCAGTCGCTGAATACCAATATCGTTAGGGCTTCGAAAAACAAGTCCATATTCCTTGCAGATATTACTACATTTCCTTACAACCATTGGCAAAGTACTAACAAAACGTTGTACTGCATGCAAAAAATCTAATTTCACGACGATACCTGGAAAATTTTGAAATAATAAACCTTTCCACTTACAACAATTATCAATCGTTATTCCTTCCACAGGTATTTTAGCATTTTCATGTCTTGTTTTCAGGTCTTCGAAAATGCTTTTAACTTCATTCAATGATTCTCCTCTTGTAAATCTCCAATGTAAAACATCTCCACATTCTCCCAAAACGCAGAATAAATATTTCATCATTTTCAACCAACCTCCATCACTTTTTCGCGTAATACCAATGTTGGCGGCACTTTTAAAAGTGTGGTCGCATGCTAACCACTTGGAGGTACGCTTGGTCATATCATTGAAAAAAGTCTGCTCGAATAATAACGAATAAGCGATAAAAACTGAACGGATCAATTGCTCGTGGGGGAACAGGAAAAAACTTTGCTGAAATTTAGGAAATGCTCCGTGATTATGAGCGTTCCACCTACAGCCAACACAATTTTCTTCATAAAGATTTCTAATTCGCCAGTATGATTGTTCGTACTGCTCCATTACAATATTTTCAATGGAATGGAAACTTAATCCGCTATCTACCATAGATGAAACTTGTGTTAACATGTCAACAGTAAACCCTGGTCGGTTTGTTAGATAAAATGGAACATAAACGGAAGGTGGCAATGCAGAAGGGATTGACGGATGGTGTGAAGGAATTTGGTGATTTAAAGGGCACATATAAATATGAGAGACAAGAAGAATCATGTACGACGTATCGTAAACAACACACGGTTCATACATGGAAGACGTCCATGTTGTATCTGCCCAGTTTCCTGATCTTCGAAGACTGTTTGTCATTCCGTTGGTCAAACAAAACGGGCAAAACAACCTATCAATAACTTTCGGGTGGCTGTGAACGACATCCCACAACATAATAGCTGGAGAGGTATACCAATCGACTGTAATTTTACATTCACTTTCACCCGTAGAAAACGTTCCATCACTATTCAATCGAGATGCCGCCCACTCTTTTAGTAACAATGAACCGAACTGCTGCCTGTTCGCATCGCTAGTTTTTTCAAACAAAGTTATCGCGCGTTTGATTTTTAATACAGTTATGGACGAAATTTGCACACCTTCACATCGTGTAGCCGACCATGTAAACAAAACCAGAAGAACAAGCCATAAAACATATACATTGAAATCCGTATTCTCGACAAACTAATAAAATTTTGTAGAGATCCCGCCATATTTGAATCCGGTTGCTTTAAATGTACGAAATTGCGAAATATATTGAAACAACAAAATCTAACCAGATTATTAGCTGTTGACGATTTGTCTATGCTCTTGTTTTGTATGTATTGAAAAATCAAATGATCCAAAAATAGCTTTCTGACAGCTAAATTGTCATTTAGGGAGTTATCAGTATTTATGGAATAGTAGGCAGAGGCGTCCATGCGGCTCCAAAAGAGGGGGGGGGCACAATTTTTGACCGCCGAAGGAGGGTGACATTCTACTGGGTTTGGGACATGCACCCAGGAAAAATTCAGTTAGAGACTCTGAAATGCCATTTCCCCACTTCAGAAGGGGATCTACAAAGTTCTAAAGCTGACAAAATGTTATAAAATATCTCGAATTGTTTTGTCTGCACGCGTAACTGAAATAATATCAATTAACTATGTGGTTTATTACGGCCGGACAATTAGAAAAGTGACGGGGTGGGGGGTGATCAAAAACAAAAATCACTCAAGGGAAAACATAAACAAAACAAACGTGCACCAAATAACTTTGAAAAAAATTGGTGCAGACTTTTCAATAGGGTTATATGATGCTATATTATGTTGTATGATGTTATATGATGTTATATGATATTATATGATGGTATATGATGTTATATGATATTATATGATGCTATATCATGTTATATGATACTATATGTTATATGTTACTAGATGTTACGCGATGTTATATGATACTATGATGTTATATATGATAGTATATGATGCTATATATGATGTTATATGATGTTATATGATGTTATATGAATAAATATTGGGCAAAATCAAATAAATAAAATAAATAAAAAATAAATATGATGCTATATGATAGTATATGATGCTATATGATGTTATATGATAGTATATGATGTTATATGATGTTATATGATGCTATATGACAGTAAATGATGCTATATGATATTATGATGGTATATGATGGTATATGATGCTATATGATGTTATATGGTGTTATATGATGCTATATGATGCTATATGATGTTATATGATGCTATATGATGCTATATGATAGTATATGATGCTATATGATAGTAAATGATGCTATATGATGCTATATGATAGTATATGATGCTATATGATAGTATATGATGCTATATGATGTTATATGATGCTATATGATGTTATATGATGCTATATGATGCTATATGATAGTATATGATGCTATATGATGCTTTATGATAGTATATGATGGTATATGATGCTATATGATAGTATATGATGCTATATGATGTTATATGATGCTATATGATAGTATATGATGCTATATGATAGTATATGATGCTATATGATGTTATATGATGTTATATGATGCTATATGATGTTATATGATGCTATATGATAGTATATGATGCTATATGATAGTATATGATAGTATATGATGCTATATGATGTTATATGATGCTATATGGTGCTATATGACAGTATATGATGCTATATGATAGTATATGATAGTATATGATGCTATATGATGTTATATGATGCTATATGATGTTATATGATGCTATATGATGCTATATGATACTATATGATGCTATATGATAGTATATGATGCTATATGATAGTATATGATAGCATATGATGCTATATGATGCTATATGATGTTATATGATGCTATATGATGCTATATGATACTATATGATGCTATATGATAGTATATGATGCTATATGATAGCATATGATAGTATATGATGCTATATGATGTTATATGATGCTATATGATACTATATGATGGTATATGATAGTATATGATGCTATATGATAGTTTATGATAGTATATGATGCTATATGATGTTATATGAAGCTATATGATGCTATATGATACTATATGATGGTATATGATGTTATATGATGCTATATGATACTATATGATGGTATATGATAGTATATGATGCTATATGATAGTATATGATAGTATATGATGCTATATGATGTTATATGATGCTATATGAT